ATTTAGGTGAACTACAATTGTGTTTAAGTCCAGGCCAAGGTCTTGAGGCGCTGCACCCAGTGTGCCAATCGGTGCTTAGACCCCCTTGGCACCAGGAAGGTGGCCTTTAACCGCCTATGGAATCCTGGGAGTTGTAGTTTGGGGAGGGAGCTCTAAATTCTCTTATCTACATGGATTTAGGTGAACTACAATTGTGTTTAAGTCCAGGCCAAGGTCTTGAGGCGCTGCACCCAGTGTGCCAATCGGAGCTTAGACACCAGGAAGGTGGCCTTTAACCGCCTATGGAACCCTGGGAGTTGTAGTTTGGGGAGGGAACTCTAAATTCCCTTATCTACATGGATTTAGGTGAACTACAATTGTGTTTAAGTCCAGGCCAAGGTCTTGAGGCGCTTCACCCAGTGTGCCAATCGGAGCTTAGACACCACTTGGCACCAGGAAGGCGGCCTTTAAGTGCCCTATGGAATCCTGGGAGTTGTAGTTTGGGGAGGGAACTCTAAGTTCTCTTTTCTACATGGATTTAGGTGAACTACAATTGTGTTTAAGTCCAGGCCAAGGTCTTGAGGCGCCGCACCCAGTGTGCCAATCAGCGCTTAGATACCAGGAAGGTGGCCTTTAACCGCCTATGGAACCCTGGGAGTTGTAGTTTGGGGAGGGAGCTCTAAATTCTCTTATCTACATGGATTTAGGTGAACTACAATTGTGTTTAAGTCCAGGCCAAGGTCTTGAGGCGCTGCACGCAGTGTGCCAATCAGCGCTTAGACACCAGGAAGGTGGCCTTTAACCGCCTATGGAACCCTGGGAGTTGTAGTTTGGGGAGGGAACTCTAAATTCTCTTATCTACTTGGATTTAGGTGAACTACAATTGTGTTTAAGTCCAGGCCAAGGTCTTGAGGCGCTGCACCCAGTGTGCCAATCAGCGCTTAGACACCAGGAAGGTGGCCTTTAACCGCCTATGGAATCCTGGGAGTTGTAGTTTGGGGAGGGAACTCTAAATTCTCTTATCTACATGGATTTAATGAACTACAATTGTGTTTAAGTCCAGGCCAAGGTCTTGAGGCGCTGCACCCAGTGTGCCAATCGGCGTTTAGACACCGCCTATGGGACCCTGGGAGTTGTAGTTTGGGGAGGGAACTCTAAATTCTCTTATCTACATGGATTTAGGTGAACTACGATTGTGTTTAAGTCCAGGCCAAGGTCTCGAGGCGCTGCACCCAGTATGCCGATCGGCGCTGAGATTCCCCTTGGCACCAGGAAGGTGGCCTTTAATCGCCTATGGAATCCTGGGAGTTGTAGTTTGGGGAGGGAACTCTAAATTCTCTTATCTACATGGATTTAGGTGAACTACAATTGTGTTTAAGTCCAGGCCAAGGTCTTGAGGCGCTGCACCCAGTGTGCCGATCGGCGCTTAGATTCCCCTTGGCACCAGAAAGGTGGCTTTTAACCGCCTATGGAACCCTGGGAGTTGTAGTTTGGGGAGGGAACTCTAAATTCTCATATCTACATTGCATCTCCCAGGAAGCATATTATAGACTGATAGAAATGTCTTTGTGAGAGTTTGCATATCTCTGATATTTTAGTGGCTCTACGTTCCATCTATTTGCCCTTTTCAAAAATGCGGCTTAAACGCTTCCCGAAGAGACTCCAAATTAAATCCGAAACGTTAAAGAGTCGACGCTGGTTCTAAAGCGTGACAAAAGGTCGAAAAGGAACCGAAATTTGTCTGTCGAAAGGCAAAAGTTGTGCCTGTTTGGAGGCTATGCCCTCAACAAAAATGGCGGCCATGTCGTCAGACTCGGCTATTACGTCAGAAGGAGGCGGGCTTATCTTGGGAGATACGCTCTCCTGATTGGACGCCGGCCTCCAGATGGATTCAGGGCGGAAGTGGGCTGCCAGAGAAGCCGGAAGTGGGCGATGGAGGCTGATGGAGTGAAGCTCTATGAGGCCAAGGAGGGTGAGTGCACTCCAGGCTCATTTGCATATGCAAATAGGCCCTGACACCCCTTCCCAGGGCTTCCCCAGGTTCATTCATCCAGATAGGGTGCTAATCTATGCTAAAATATGCAAATATATTCCATTCTAAACCCCCTCTATGCTAAATTATGCAAATTTATGCAAATATGTTACTAATTAATATTAATTAACCCACAGAGGTGAAATGGACGCGAAATACATAAGATCCCAGGTTTCCCCCATCATTAGTCCATGCTAAATTATGCAAATTTATGCAAATGTGTTACTAATTAATATTAATTAACCCGCAGAGGTGAAATTGAAGCAAATAAATTAGATCCCAGGCTCCCCCCATCATGCTAAATTATGCAAATTTATGCAAATATGTTACTAATTAATATTAATTAACCCGCAGAGGTGAAATTGACGCAAATACATTTGATCCCAGCCTTTCCCTATCATTAGTCCATGCTAAATTATGCAAATCTATGCAAATGTGTTACTAATTAATATTAATTAACCCGCAGAGGTGAAATTGACGCAAACACATTCGATCCCAGCCTTTCCCCATCATTATTTCATGCTAAATTATGCAAATTTATGCCAATATATTCCATTCTAAACCCCCTCAAGGGTGTTGAACCAGGCTAATTTATGCAAATATATTCGGTTTTAATATTTACATGCTAATTTTCACTAAGTTTAACCTGCAGAGGTGAAATTGACGCAAACACATTAGGTCCCAGCCTTTCCCTATCATTAGTCCATGCTAAATTATGCAAATCTATGCAAATATGTTATTAATTAATATTAATTAACCTGCAGAGGTGAAATTGACGCAAACACATTAGATCCCGGTCTTCCCCCATCATTAGTCCATGCTAAATTATGCAAATCTGCTATTAATTAATATTCATTAACCCGCAGAGGTGAAATTGACCCAAATACATTCGATCCCAGCCTTTCCCCATCATTAGTCCATGCTAAATTATGCAAATCTATGCAAATATGTTATTAATATTAATTAACCCGCAGTGAAATTGACTTAAATACATTCGATCCCAGCCTTTCCCTATAATTATTCCATGCTAAATTATGCAAATATGTTACTAATTAATATTAATTAACCCTCAGAGAATAAATTGACGCAAATACATTAGATCCCAGCCTTCCCCCATCATTAGTCTATGCTAAATTATGCAAATTTATGCAAATATGTTACTAATTATTATTAATTAACCCTTAGAGGTGAAATTGATGCAAACACATTAGATCCCAGCCTTCCCCCATCATTAGTCCATGCTAAATTATGCAAATTTATGCAAATATGTTACTAATTAATATTAATTAACCCGCAGAGGTGAAATTGACGCAAATAAATTAGATCCCAGCCTTCCCCCGTCATTAGTCCATGCTAAATTATGCAAATCTATGCAAATATGTTACTAATTAATATTAATTAACACGCAGAGGTGAAATTGACGCAAACACATTAGATCCCAGTCTTCCCCCATCATTAGTCCATGCTAAATTATGCAAATTTATGCAAATATGTTACTAATTAATATTAATTAACCCGCAGAGGTGAAATTGACGCAAATAAATTAGATCCCAGCCTTCCCCCGTCATTAGTCCATGCTAAATTATGCAAATTTATGCAAATATGTTACTAATTAATATTAATTAACCCGCAGAGGTGAAATTGACGCAAATAAATTAGATCCCAGCCTTTCCCTATCGTTAGTTCATGCTAAATTATGCAAATCTATGCAAATATGTTATTAATATTAATTAACCCGCAGTGAAATTGACTTAAATACATTCGATCCCAGCCTTTCCCTATAATTATTCCATGCTAAATTATGCAAATATGTTACTAATTAATATTAATTAACCCTCAGAGAATAAATTGACGCAAATACATTAGATCCCAGCCTTCCCCCATCATTAGTCTATGCTAAATTATGCAAATTTATGCAAATATGTTACTAATTATTATTAATTAACCCTTAGAGGTGAAATTGATGCAAACACATTAGATCCCAGCCTTCCCCCATCATTAGTCCATGCTAAATTATGCAAATTTATGCAAATATGTTACTAATTAATATTAATTAACCCGCAGAGGTGAAATTGACGCAAATAAATTAGATCCCAGCCTTCCCCCGTCATTAGTCCATGCTAAATTATGCAAATTTATGCAAATATGTTACTAATTAATATTAATTAACCGTCATAGGTGAAATTGACGCAAACACATTAGATCCCAGCCTTCCCCCGTCATTAGTCCATGCTAAATTATGCAAATTTATGCAAATATGTTACTAATTAATATTAATTAACCCGCAGAGGTGAAATTGACGCAAATAAATTAGATCCCAGCCTTTCCCTATCGTTAGTTCATGCTAAATTATGCAAATCTATGCAAATATGTTACTAATTAATATTAATTAACCCGCAGAGGTGAAATTGAGGCAAATACATTAGATCCCAGCCTTCCCCCATCATTAGTCCATGCTAAATTATGTAAATTTATGCAAATATGTTATTAATTAATATTAATTGATATTGATTAAAACCACGCAATGTTAAAACGTAAATATTAAAATCAAATTAAAGATGTAAATATACAAGTATTGAAAATGCAGTTGAAATCACATATATATATATATATTATATAACATAACATAAATAATATTAATATATAATATTAATATATATGTATATATATATTATATATATATAATATGAGTCTAAGCCCAAAAAAATGTTACTTCCTGCAAATATATTACAGGCATATATATATATATATATATATTGCACAGACATATAATATAAATATATTGCATGCATATTTGTATATATTACAAATACATTATATATATATATTACATGCATATATATAATATTACATATATTGTAGTATATAACATAATATTAATATATTACATGTGTTATATATATATATATATATATATATATATATATATATATATGAGTCTAAGCCCATAAAGTGTTAGTTCCTGCAAATATATTGCATGCAGATATATATATATATATATATATATATATATATATATATAATACAAACATATAATATAAATATATTGCATGCATTTATGTATATATTACATATATATTATATATATATTACATGCATATATATATTACATATATTGTATATAACATAATATACATAATATTATTACATGTGTTATATATATATATGTGTGTGTGTGTGTGTATGTATATGTATTTATATATATATATGAGTCTAAGCCCAAAAACTTAGTTCCTGCAAATATATTACATGCATATATATATATATATATATACACACACACATATATATATAATATAAATATATTGCATGCATGTTTGTATATATTACATATATATTGTGTATATTGCATGTATATATACATAATATTACATACATTGTAATATATAACTAACACTTTTTGGGCTTAGACTCATACATACATACACACATATATGTATGTATGTATGTATATATATATATATATCACTTGTAATATATTAATATTGTATATATTAATATATTACATGTGATAGATATATATGTATATATATACATATATGTGCGTGTATGTATGTATGAGTCTAAGCCCAAAATGTGTTAGTTCCTGCAAATATATTACATGCACACACACATATATAATATAAATATATTACATGCATATATGTATATATTACATATATATTTTATATAATACATGCATATATATAATATTACATATATAGTAATATATAACGAGATATATATACATACACATATGAGTCTAAACGCAAAAAGTGTTAGTTCCTGCAAATATATTACATGTGTGTGTGTGTATTATATATATATATATAATATCTTATACACACACATATAATACAAATATATTACATACATATATGTATATATTACATGCATATATATATATTATATACAATATATATTACATAAATTGTAATATATAACATAATATATATATAATATTAATATATTACATGTGATACAGGACCCGATGAACTCGTATTCATCTAAAACTATTCTTTAAAGAATGCATATTGAAATATATTTCCATAAAATACATATTAAAATATATGAAACAAAGATTAAGCATAAGGTGCAAGTTTCAAATTTGTCATTAAAACTGTATTAATTAATATGTTATTAATTAATATTGATAACATATTATTAATCCATCAATGGGATGGATTTGTGGGTCCCACAAATCCATCCCGATGCCATGAAAGTGGCGTCAAACTGCATTCATTCAACAGTATAGATGCTAAAGCTCGTTATAGATTATATATAAATCAACTAGCTGTCCCCTGCCAGGTGTTGCTGTGGCCCAGTCTGGTGATCTGGAAAATAAAGTAATGAGAAAGTGTTGGTTTCTAATATATGTAATTCCTTTATGCTTATGGGTAAACAGTATTTCTTGCTATCTCTTTGTCAGTGTTGATGTGGAGAGTGTCTGGTTTGCCCACCCTGGAACATACAACATATTATTGTCCTTCTTTAAGGGTCCTTTCAAATCTATGATACTATATCTCTGTGTGAGAATCATATCTATTATCTATCTATCTATCTATATCTATGGCTGGATGGCTCTTTGTCAGGAGGACTTTGATTACGTTTTCTTGCCCTGATGAAGGGAGTTGGATTGGATGGCCTTAAGTATTTTCTGTTGGTCATGGGAGTTCTGTGTGGGAAGTTTGCCCTGATCTGTCGTTCATGGGGTTCAGAATGCTCTTTGATTGTAGGTGAACTGTGAATCCCAGTGACTACAACTCCCAAATGTCAAGGTCTATTTCCCCCAAACTCAATCTGTGTTCATATTTGGGCGTATTGAGTGCATGTGCCAAGTTTGGTTCAGATCCATCATTGTTTGAGTCCACAGTGCTCTCTGGATGTAGGTGAACTACAACTCCCAAACTCAAGGTTAATGCCCACCAAACCCTTCCAATATTTTCTGTTGGTCATGGGAGTTCTGTGTGCCAAGTTTGGTTCAATTCCATCATTGATGGAGTTCAGAATGCTCTTTGATTGTAGGTGAACTATAAATCCCAGCAACTACAACTCCCAAATGACAAAATCATAATTTTTTGAGTGATGGTCACTCCTTGTGTTGTGAGACGTTTTGTTGCCAAATTTGGTGTGATTTCGTTCACTGGTTCTTTTGTTTTTAAGGTACTTATGCACTGAGCATTTTTATATATATAGATAATTGGTTAACAGGGTCCTTCTCGGAAAGCAACCGGACA